GTGTGTGTGTATGTGTGTGTGTGTATGTGTGAGTGGGTGTGTGTGCACGCGAATGTATGTGTGTGCGAGTGTGTGTGTATAATTAATGTGTGTGTTTGTTTGTGATGTGTGTGTGTGTGCAATCGCGCGCGTGTGTGCATGTGTAAGTGTGTTTCACCCTCCTTCTATCCACACCCCATTCCAATTACCAGAGTGTAGACCTATGCGGAGTTGCAGTTTGTGTGAAGGCTGATGAGGTACCCTGAAATGGGCAACTTTCTGCAGCAGCAGCAGGGAGAGCCGGGCGATGTGGAGCACGTGATCATTTCCATTGCGCAGTGGCAGACCAGAGACCACCATGTATGCGTCTCCGATTGTCTCCACCTGGCACAACAAACAAAGCAAGGGCAGAGGTTAATTATAACAAATACTAAAGACTATAAAAGAGAACAAAAGACACGAACAACGGGCAACTTTCGAAAGAATGACTGGCTGAGTGAGCTGCGGATATAGAGACAGTGAGAGGGACAGTGTGAGTGAGAGCTGTGAGTATCTCACCAGGTGAGAGCGACGAAGACAACAATCAACAACCCCTGGTCACAGCTTCAGGAGTGAAAAAAAATTTAAGTTAGGGCAATTTTGCCTAGCTCTCTAAAACAATACGCGAGGCAGCGTGTGGAATCAGGCTCTCGTCAATTTTTGGGCATGTAGAGTTATTGGTGTCATCTTAAAGCTTGTTCACTTGTCTTTATTTCAATGAAAAGAATATCCATTTATCTTGAATACAAGTCGAGATATTTGCCAATGAAGGAGGTGGGGTCACCTGTTTTCAGAAGTAAAGTCGTTAGTGAGAAAATGGCCACCAAAGATTAGTTATTTCCTTAGCTTGAGAGTCTGTGGTAACTGAAAATTTACATTTTTTGTGCCTTTAATCAACGTTTTTAAGAAAATTCCTCACAGAAATGAGTTCTTTAATGGGCATGAAAGGTGTTGAGCCAAAAAACAAAAATTTGATAAAAACTCACAAACCTGCGGGAAAATGCAAGTTTCTTCACTTTGATTATTTTGACGAGAGCCTGATTCCACCACGCTGCCTCACATATTATTAGCCTACTGCCCATGGTAACCAGGGCGCAAGTAAATATAAGTTTTTCTATTTCTCTTTTCCTTTTTTTTTTGGTAAGTGTTTTACGGCGCTCGCAACTGCATTAGGTCATATGAGCGCGCGGGACACGTCAAAACATTTTTATTTGGAGGGATATTTTGAATCTTCACCGGATTAAGGCCGAAGTCTACTCTTATCGATTTTGGACCTTTAGGGGATCTTTAATGTGTGCAACTTGCACTAATTACAACCACACGAACACACAAACAAATACACATACACACTAACACATCACGCGTTTCCACTTACAACCACACAAACACTCACACACTCATACATACTTATCACACACATACATAAATACTCACAAACACCACACACACACACACACACACACACACACACACACACACACACACACACACTTTTAAAGACACACGTAGACATACAAACACATCCACACGCACTAACACACAGATAAAAACACAAACAAACATACACTCTATTACACATAACCACACACAGGCTTATACACGTACAGACGGAGAGAGACACACACACGCACACACAACCAAACACACAAGAAAACACACACACAAAATCACTCATAAACGCATGCATACACTATCTTATACACATGCAGATGGACAGGCACACACATGCACACAAACACACATACACACTGACACCTGCACACACACACACACACACACACACAATGCACGCGCGCGCGCAGACACACACACACACACAAATGCACACACGCAGACACACACACAGACGCACACACATATACACCCACTCAGAAGCGCACACAGACACACACAGACACACACACAGACTCAGAGACACA